TAACACTACAAAGTGGGTAGTTTAGTTTACATAGACTAAGAATAAGGAATTCAATAACTTTCCAAAAGTAGGATTCATTCTTAGAGTGTGTTATTCATAGTAGGGCCTGTCGTGATATCATGGATCGCTTGGGTTCCACCAGGATCTGGTAGTCCTCATAATTCTGCGGCCTCTATGTGTCGTCATCTCGCACAACTCCGAAAAACCGTTGTGAGTTTGGCATGTGAAAATTTGCAGCCTTCCAGACATCGATTGGGTTAACGAGTAGTCGTACGTCACCTCAAGATCGGGTGACAGGGGGCTGAACAGGCCAGAACCCAATTGATTGGGTCTGAGGTCACGTGATTATGAGCCTGAGGTCACGTGACTATGACGTCACCAGAGCTCGTTCTCCGTTTCCCGCTCTTTGGACCAGGTGAGCTTGCATGCATGTGAAAGTGGGTGTAAGTACAGCTGTACTGTAGTTACATCCAATTACCCCTAATAGAACGAAGATTTATTTTCTGACAGAAAGCTAGAAATTTACCAAAATATCGACTTTGTTCAAAATTTATTTTGATGACCACTCCTGACCTAAAATTGCACGAGAAATCGATTAAACTTGGTTTCAGAACTCAACAATGCTTCCTATTATGCCTTAAAATCCATGTTTTATCGATACAATAAACATTTTGATCCTGTGGATTAATTAGTAACAGGTAACAAATGCACAGAAAAAACCATCGCACTTACATTGCATTCTTAACGGGTCGATTTCGAGTGACCAATAATCGTCGTGATGATATTTATACGTCATGCGTTCCTGATCATCATCAGCAATCAAGAGAAAGGAGCGGCGGTTGCTTCAAATCAATGGTTTACGTTATTTTTGTGAATTCGACCCCTGTTTAACGGTTATAATCAGACTTTGTAATTGAATGTATTGAGGATATCTTTACAAATAAGAGGACCAGTAAATAAAATTGCCACAAGTGTTTCTCTCACTCACTTTCGATAAGACACAATGAAAATTCTTACTTAACCATAAGATTCGGAATTTTTCAACCGTTGAAGAATATCGGAATTTTATAAAATGTAAGTTCAATTTTTACAAAAAATCAACGAATCGTATAAAATTCCATCTTACACTCAGCTCTTATGGCAATTCTACACTCAAACTAGAACATTCTAAAAGATCGATTATTACGCTAAAACCCTGCTGTAAACAGTAAAACAGCGTACCAAATTGGCCACTGTGTATGTGCTTGTAGTGATATTATATATAATATGTGTGAAAAGATGCCGATAATACTTCCAGATTATTTCTCGAATAAATTCATAAGTTACTTTATAAAATAAATCATTATATTATTTTAAAAAGTAGTTGTCTTTTCCATTTATATTGTACCAATCGCCGACTCACTTTTTCCAATTAGCCTCACCAGCGCAACGTGAATTTTATTAGAAATCGTTAACAACATATTTTACTAAAATAGATCTGCTGGATTTGCAAAGTGCTAGTAACAATCGGGGATCGGATTGCCGGATTTTAAAATTCAAAAAATTCCTAGGTAGTAGGTTTACGAAAATTGAAAAAACAGACACTTTAAAAAGCTGCCCAACTGAAATTGCACAAATTGCAATACAATACTACCGTTTTCTCAGAAAAGGCAGTAAGTCCATATTTGCCATTTCGAGATATTGCGACTTTTGCGTTTATGGTTTTTTCTCCGCTTACTTTTTGCGTAAGATCGAAGGTAAACACGTTGAGTTATCAATAATTAGTCAAATTTTAATTTGTCAAAAAAATTAAAGCTTTGAGCCGTCCATAAGCTTAGATATAACCATTTTTATGCCAAATAATCGAGCTTATTTTTGGACTTACTGCCTTTTCTGAGAAAACGGCAGAATACAAAGATATCATTGGAAATAACCGTCGCGTCATTCTAACAACTCATTCCTCATTTAACTGCCACCTAAAGGTTTTTATACATATAACTGATAAGACAATTGCAGCGGTATCATTCACAATTTTTCGATTAACCGTTCAAAGGTTGATAAGTGTGATTAGATTTTATAAAATTCCGATATTCTTCAACGGTTGAAAAATTCCGAATCTTATGGTTAAGCAAGAATTTTCATTGTGTCTTATCGAAAGTGAGTGAGAGAAACACTTGTGGCAATTTTATTTACTGGTCCTCTTATTTGTAAAGATATCCTCAATACATTCAATTACAAAGTCTGATTATAACCGTTAAACAGGGGTCGAATTCACAAAAATAACGTAAACCATTGATTTGAAGCAACCGCCGCTCCTTTCTCTTGATTGCTGATGATGATCAGGAACGCATGACGTATAAATATCATCACGACGATTATTGGTCACTCGAAATCGACCCGTTAAGAATGCAATGTAAGTGCGATGGTTTTTTCTGTGCATTTGTTACCTGTTACTAATTAATCCACAGGATCAAAATGTTTATTGTATCGATAAAACATGGATTTTAAGGCATAAGGAAGCATTGTTGAGTTCTGAAACCAAGTTTAATCGATTTCTCGTGCAATTTTAGGTCAGGAGTGGTCATCAAAATAAATTTTGAACAAAGTCGATATTTTGGTAAATTTCTAGCTTTCTGTCAGAAAATAAATCTTCGTTCTATTAGGGGTAATTGGATGTAACTGCAGTACAGCTGTACTTACACCCACTTCCACATGCATGCAAGCTCACCTGGTCCAAAGAGCGGGAAACGGAGAACGAGCTCTGGTGACGTCATAGTCACGTGACCTCAGGCTCATAATCACGTGACCTCAGACCCAATCAATTGGGTTCTGGCCTGTTCAGCCCCCTGTCACCCGATCTTGAGGTGACGTACGACTACTCGTTAACCCAATCGATGTCTGGAAGGCTGCAAATTTTCACATGCCAAACTCACAACGGTTTTTCGGAGTTGTGCGAGATGACGACACATAGAGGCCGCAGAATTATGAGGACTACCAGATCCTGGTGGAACCTAAGCGATCCATGATATCACGACAGGCCCTATATTCATAGCTCACCTGATTATCCAGCTACACGAAATGATGATATTAGCTAAGTATTTTCTTCTCCTCAAAATACTGCGGATATATTGAGAGTACCTGTCTAAAACCTTAAAGCAGACAAGGCAGCTCAAGAGTAGCACCCCCTGAAAGTTAGATGAGGTTATCTAAACAGTAGTATACTAGCACAATTGTGACATTCCTTCAATTTACAAATTCCAGATCAGATTCAATCGGTATCTCAATATCTCAATATCGTATGTAAGTAAGATGCATTTATCATAATTACCTGCACTATTACAATGCTTTGAATGGGTCCCATAACATTGCAATATACAAAACTGTTATTGTTCTTCATGGTGGAGATTGATCTCTCTTGAACTTTGTAGTAGGTGGATGATACCCAATTCGTTTGTAGAGCCAAACCTCCATGAAGCAAAGCAACAATGGACTGAAAAAATAAAAACAGCATAAAATTGACCCAACAAAACTCCCTACTTATACAAAATAAATTAGTTGCAAAATTATTATACTTACCTCATAGTTGTCTACCCTAAATACGTTGAAGTGTGATCAGATACTACTACACAGTGAATATACCTTCACTAGATTGTTGAAGGTAAGGTGAGTGTACAGAGTGGTGCCAAAATCTCCCGTCTTTGTGAACCACTGCTTTCTCAGATAAGCCAAACCGAGCAGAGAATTGAAGATTACTCCTGCAATATGGAATTGTAGAGGAAGTTATTCATTAGGTTGTCATTTGTCTCTTCTTGGTGTGCAATATGTTTCACATCTTCACTGCTGTACAGCATTGTACAAGAATGCTAGTCTCCATTACACTGATCTTAAATTATGATATTGTTCTTACTGCTCAGTAAATCAAAAGTGTAGATTTGTGTCTCAGTGGTTTCAATTGCAAATCGATCGCAATGTAGGGAATATATGGACTAGGGAAACACCGATAGTATAAGAATATTAATTAATCACTCACCAAACAGTGCCATTATTGTAATGAAGAACATGTAAAATCTATCCAGTGCTTTGTAAGTCGACAGTTCTATTCCGTAGTAGTTTTGATAGTAGGTCATATCTATTGTGCTGTAAAGAGTACCAAGTAAATAATTACATTATCATTTTATCGAACTACCTGCTTATACAAAGAAAAACAGCACCAAACGGAGAAATCCGATTTTCAACAAAAGTCTAACATCATAACGGTGAGGCCCACTGAATAAAAAGAAAGCAGGAAAGAAGTATGATTAAGAGTCTTATGTTTTTACTTGACATGCGAAAAATGCAAGACAATCATTCCAGCAAAATAGTTGTATAGTCTTGTATTTCACATAATATCAGGTTTTATCATCAGGAATTTAATTATTTTGCGATTTTCCGGGTTAGTTTCTTGATAAACATTATTTGACATAAAGACGACCTTTTGCCTCTAAACAGTTTCCAACCGCTAACCAGGCATGGTAAAGTCCCTCACTAAACGACCAATTCTGCAAAACAGATCAAACTGGAATATGGATTATGAGTATAATATTTGTATTGATATTATGCAATATGAAAGCTTATTTTGATCCCAGATTCGACCACAAGTATAATATATTATAATTGCTATATATTGCTATATATATTATTATTGCTATATATAGCAAAGTAAGTACTGATCCGAGAGAAACTACTATATAATGTAAAATAAATTCATAAGTGTATTATTATGAATATAATTTTGAATAGCATTTACTCATTATCCACCTTACAATTTAACATCTGCCCAACTTTAATCCAGCTTCTTGCTAAAGATAGGTATCGAGTGGTAAAATTAGTCTAATCTTGGTTTTATGATTGCTTGCCAAAGAGCCCCCTCCCCCCCCCCCCCTCTCCCTCCCCTCCAGACATATGTTACACAATTAGCGTGTACTGTGTAAGGATAACATGTTATGTCCTCTAATTAATCCCAACTAACTTAACTATTGCAGTATTCATGACAAGTCCTAAAGACAATGAAGCTACAACACTGCGTCCTAACCCGGAGGAAAATGCTAATTTTTTCAGCAGATGTGTTTTCTGGTGGATTCAGGATATCCTAAAAAAGGGTTACAAAGCTCCGCTACAAGAATCCGACGTATTTGCCTGCCACACTAAATATAAATCAAAAACTATCACCGACCGCACAAAGTACTACTGGGACAAAGAACTGAAGAAAAGTTCACCTTCATTAACCAGAGCGTTGTTCAAGTCCAATGCCAAGGAACTCTGCATTATTCTCGCGCAATGTTTTCTGGAAGGTTTCTTCTTCCTGGCCCCACCTGTACTCATCGGCAGGATTTCCTCCTATTTCGACCCAGCCTCTACCACAACTCAAAAGGAAGCCCTAATGTACGGTGGAATGATGTTTATAGCTAACATTCTCTTTATAGGTCTGCGCAATTTCTTGTATTGGAACCTCCATACACTTGGACCTTCTCTGAGAATCCAACTGTCCTCTCTGGTCTACAACAAGGTAGGATCTTTATAAATGAAGTTTTTGTTCATTTGTTGTGAAGATAGTCAACATATTTTAGTCTAATAAAAATAAATGTACTTTTATTGTTGTTAAATAATTTTAACATAATAAATACAAATTAATCTTGATCCAAAATCTCGTTAAGTAATCATACATAGGTCACAATTTTTCAATTTTTGACAATTTTGTTCATCGCCTATAAGTAAGTGGTGTGTCCTGAGTACATGATGCGTCTCTCTTCAACACAGAACTAAAATAATCAAATTACTAGATATATAACCTAATAAAAATGTAACAAATTCGATCTACGCTAGATAACCCTCTTTATAATTAGTTTTATGTTTTGATGACTTCTCCATAATTACTATATATCCATATAATCTATATATAAGTCATTATTGTAGCCTGAACGGAACCCTTCGGTTTCAGTTCCTTGTTTAACACTGCCGTACTGTTTCGCATCAGAGTTCTCAGTTCCTCTTTAGAGTTTGTCCCAACTTCGTCTGAAATATTCGAATTTTTAAATTTTGACGACGGAATCCTCAAACCAGAAGGCACAGTATGCTATCTGCCAAGCAACAGCTCTCAAATATAAAACACGGCGGAGCTATTAAGGCCAACGTATGCCCACTAACTTTTGGCCCACCCTGTAAATTAATCAAATTATTCCGCAGACTTACAACTTAACAAAAATATAACAAAATCCGATCTACGCTAGGTAACCCTGTCTATAATTAGTTTATACACTATATATAGCGACATTATATTATTTTATATCCTAATATATTGTTTTTGTAACAGGTAGCTTTTGCCACATGTAAGTTGGTCTGCACGGAGCCCCATAGTTTCAATTTCTTGCTTAACTAGCCGTACAGCAAGGATATCCACTGTGTTCACCAGGTTGGGCACATAACCAACTCTTCCCTGCCAAAGTCAACTATATACTATGGTTTTCTCGAAAGTATTTCCTTGTATTTGACTTTCGTCAAGAAAATAATGTTACTTTCGGTTCAGATGTTATATAAGCTAGCCTTTATGTGGTGAGCTTATCATCGTTAAGTAACATACACAAATAGCTATGTCCCAGTCGGCCTTGTTTTTGCTCTCGTTTTTATATCCTCTTTTGTAAATTGTGTGACAACCTTGATAGGCTACCAGTAGGCCAACCCCCTCCCTCCCTCTACCCCCCCCCCCCCCCCCGCTACCATTCACCTTGTCCTGTCGTGAGATATCCAGCACCATATGACTTACTGACTGACTTAAGGCGGGTGGTATTCCCGAGATCCATTGACAACAGTTCTCCACAGCTTTCTGTCCTCCATCAGTCTAGCTATCTCATCTACTGACTTCAGCCCAGTATCTGCTTTTAGGTTATCTAGTAGTGTTAAATGAGGTCGCCCCCTGTTAGTATGCCCATGACTCGGCTTCCAGAGGATCAGTTTGTTCAGTGTCAGCTCCGGATGTCGGTGAGCATGACCTGCAAGTCTGAGCCTTCGTTGGGTTATCTTGGAGCTGACTTTGGGAAGATCACCGTACAGGCTGTGGTTGCTGACATGGTCTCGATATTGGTTGATGTTAAGGGCCATTCTTAACATTCGCGTATAGCAACCATCAACCATCTTCTCTAGCCTTTTCGTCATTGTCCAAGTCTCGGAACCGTACAGTAGCACCGACTCCACTAGTGCTGTAAACACTCTGATCTTGATAGACTTTCTAAGCTTAGAATTCCAAAGCTTTTTGAGTGTGTGGCATGCTCCCCATGCTCTTCCTTTCCTAACCCTGATATCACTCTCACTGTCTCTGATTCTAGAACCCAGATAAGTGAAGTCTTCCACATGCTCTATTGTACTGTTACCCAGGGACTTGATGGTATCAGGGTTCTCGATGTTCTGAGTAATGAATTTGGTTTTCCCTTCATTCATTCTAAGTCCCACTGTAGCAGCAACCCTTTCTACCTCTAGCATCAGCGTCTCTGCCTCCTTTACAGTATCTGCTATCAGAGCAATGTCATCTGCAAAACCAGTGTTTTGCAGGGGATCTAGGGGTGCACCCCTAGATCCGCTGTGTTCAGTTACAACTCCATCACTGAAGTTGCATGCAGCCCCACCTCGAGCAGGATGTGGCTCTTCACCACGCACAGACGGTCTGAATGTACAGAGTTGAATCTGCAGCATCCTAGGTTTACCCGTAATAGAGCAAAACCTTTGGGGCCAAAGCACCATATGCGACATCTGAAAAAATGGATATTATGAACGAATTTATGAATTGAAGTTTGGCTATTCTTGAAATCACGAATTATTAATTAAGCAACAAAAATTGTTGATGGTTTAACTGTCAACATCCATCCTGAGAGAGGAAAGGTTCAATCAGGGGTGTAGGAATGATTTTCTTCATTTTTTCTTCGCCACAGCCTTTTTTTTTTTTTTTTTGGCGCCAGAGCCTGAATTTCGAGGGTAAGGACAAAAGGAAATTGCAGCATGTGCGGTATTGCGATTTTTCACGTTTGCCGCGATAAAACGCGATTTTCAGATCCTGGCCTTCCTTTAAATCTGAGGACTAAATATCACGTTTTCTATAATTAGTATATGAAACCAATCAGTATCACATCCACAACCTTCCGAATATAGGTACGGACTTTAAAAAACCGAAAAATATACATATTTTCGGCTCAGAATGATCAGGGTAGCATGAAACATGAACAAAAGTAATTTCCAGAAAAACTTTGAAAAATTTTGACTTAGAAAATTTTCGGTCCGAGTCATTCTCGATACGTACCTCTGAAAGCAGAGCTCCCGCTTCCGAGCTCGTATTGCGAAGGGGAGGCCTGCCTTCCGAGATCGCATTACAAATGAACCCTCGAATATCGAACTTCGAAAACCGAAAAAAATATTTTTGGCTCATAATGATCAGGGTAGCATATGAAACATGAACAAAAGTAGTTTCCAAGAAAACTTTGAAAATTTTTTTTCCCAAAAATTTTTTGAAACCTAAATTAAAAAGTTGGCCCTTTTTGGCCCCTTGTCCAGATTTCAGGGCCCCCCCCCCCTGCCCCCCGCTTCCTACACCCCTGGGTTCAATGATAGCTTTATTAACAATAACTGGAGCTTTCATAATGCTGATAGTTCATTTAATTTATTTTCTCTTGACGATGAATCATTTTGAGGTTTCAACATAAAGTCGTTAGCGGTTTCTCAATATCCTGTTCCTATGCAACGTCTCAAACTATTTTCGTTTAGCAGTCTGTATTTTAATCTGACAGTGAGATGCGGCACCTGTAGCCAGGGCTACGTCTCAAACTATTTTCGTTTAGCAGTCTGTATTTTAATCTGACAGTGAGATGCGGCACCTGTAGCCAGGGCTACGTCTCAAACTATTTTCGTTTAGCAGTCTGTATTTTAATCTGACAGTGAGATGCGGCACCTGTAGCCAGGGCTACTATTTTCGTTTAGCAGTCTGTATTTTAATCTGACAGTGAGATGCGGCACCTGTAGCCAGGGCTACGTCACAAGACTTGGTTTTATGAAGCTCTGGTACTGTCTGTTTTTATCAATCATTACATAATCTAAATACAATAATTTGGGTTCATTCTATTTGTGTCTATTTCTTCATTCTAAAATTTCTATTTTTTCAATTTGAAGATCTCGACGTTATTTTAAAACATGTTGTAATTTAGCTGGTTTGACTGAAAAGTGAGGAGAACCAAAGAAACACGCTGTTAATAAATAATCAACTAATTATTTATTTGGTTACTTGGATCAAATCAAACATTTTAAAAACACAAATTTGTGACACACCATGCCATTTTTGCCGACCTTCCTAGATCACAACTTTAGATCACACCTTCACTGTTCAATATTAAATAGTGAAGTTGTGATCACCTACTATCGTTGATGCGTAGGAGATAATTTCAAGTGCAAAGACTATATTTTTCACTATTTACTTGACGTCAACCCGTCTTTTCCACTCTAAAGATCACAGCGCCCACCCTATTTCCATGGTAACTTAGGTAATATTAGTTTATTTGGTAGGTACAGCGTATATTATACTAGTCTGTTCTGGTTGCACGTGCAAATCTGACTACCTATTTCATTATTTACTTGACGTCATATTACGGATATTGGAGTTTTGGTTTGAATTTTGTGATTAAATATATTATGATTAAATTAGGAAAAATTCACTACTTCAGAAGACAATTTTTGCAGCATTCGTCACTTTTTTGGAAATCTTTCTCGTTTATAGTGTTGGAAGCTTGGCTATTTGTAGAGTATTAATGATTATAAAACCGTTATCGTAACTGTTCAACTCAAATCTTCATCGAAACCATTCTTCAGATATCCCAGTCTGCTTTTAATTTATATCATAGGCTTTTCAATGTAAAGGTATAAATTAATGAGAACAGTGTTGATTATCCTCATGAATAATCATGCCCTACATTATTATTTACAATAATATGTTGATACTAATATCATACTTTTTGTAAAATAGTTGTAAATATTACCCTCTCAATCATAAATTCTCAACTGCTCAAACCTCTAAACGATGATAGATAGGTATTGTCAGAGTGTAAAATTTAAGATAAAATCTAAAATACCAAATTAAAAGTGTAGCAGTAAAGTAACAATGCCTTTATACCTGGGTTCAGAAAGGATTGCTATTCACGCGACTAGAGAGGATCATATTTCAGGCTTCACAGAAAATACTGCTCAAATTTGCTTTTTTTGTTTGTTCTTTGCCATGTTTATTGTTTAATAGTATCGATTATCCTTTGTAGTTTATAGTTTGTAACAGTCAATCTAGTGGGTCGCTGTCCACTGAACATTTAGAATCTCCTTTACTGTTCACAGTAATCACTGATCTATCTCCGCTTGATTGTCTAACCTCAAGCAATTACTCCTTTCACAGCGTGGATATTTACTGATGACTTCTCAAGAAAAAGAAATCCACCCTTCCCACCCTACTAATCCTGAACAGAGTGCTACTTTTCTCAGTCGCATCCTTTTTTTGTGGATACAAGATCTCATGAAGAAGGGTTACAGAGCTCCACTACAAGAATCTGATATATTTCCCTGTCACCCTAACCTCCAATCTAGACGTGTCACAGACCTTGTTAAATATTACTGGAATGTTGAGCTGAAGAAGAAATCCCCCTCTCTACCTAGAGCTTTTTTAAAAGCTAATGCTAAGCTTATCTTTCCTATTACACTAATGTGTTTATCGCAGAGTTTCTTCTTTCTTGCTCCTGCTTTTTTAGTTTCCAAAGTTTCCTCTTATTTTGACTCTGCATCAAAGTTGACCTGCAGTGAAGTTGTGATTTACTGTTGTGCCATGTGTCTCATAAATCTTCTTTACATTGGTCTCAAAAGTGTGATGCACTGGAATTTGGAGAAGTTAGGCAAAGTTTTAAGAAACCAGGCCTCTGCTCTAGTCTACGATAAGGTAAATTCAACACTCGCTGTTTTTTGCAAGGATAAGATTAACTTATCAAATTTTTAAACTGTTCATTGGTGGATCCCAGAGCTTAATTATGTGTTATGTGCACTAAAAACCCGTGTTTACCACCCTTGATATCCCAGCTCCCACTCTATTACCATGGTAAATTAGGTAATATTCGGTTATTTGGTAGGTACCTGGAACAGGGTATATAATCCTAATCTGTTCTGATGGCATTTAATTTTTACAATTTCACAAAATTGAGTCATTACTTATGAAACGTTATCAATTAAATAAGGTAAGACTAACTAAATATAAGATAACTTTCAACCAAATCATATGTTCTAGGTGTTGAATCAAATTAAATTAAAAATTCATGACGAAAATAAGATCACAGTTGAATCATATTTTTACAATTTCTTATCTCTGTTTTCTAAATTTGATTACATAAAAGAAAGCCATATTTCAGGATCACAATTGTCGAGTCCAACATTGTTAAACATTTAAGGTGACTCTAGGAAAAGTATTCACCAATATTTATTCAATACCACCTCACACGTCATCAGGTCATCTCTAGCACATACTTCAATTTTCAGGCGTGCAGGATTAGCTTCTCAGCCCTTAGTAAAACTAGTATTGGTCACGTGATAACACTAATGTCTAACGACGCTGAGCGCTTCAACGAGGTGGGTTTAACTACAGTTAACTGAAAACTAACAAGTAACAATATATCAACATTTTCTGTACCTTGGAAAGATTACGTCCACAACTGTTTGGGGAGGGGGGCCGGAGTTGGGGGGAATTTTAAATTTTGAACACTGTACCAGGTGCTATCAGGTGCTATGAGGTGCTATGAGGTGCTATCAGGTGCTATCGGGTGCTATCACATCATGTTTTACAGGGTTTAGTACCTCTTCACGCAGTGCTGAACGTCCCACTGACGCTAACAACATCCTTCGTTCTTTCCTACTACACAATCGGGTTATACGCCACACTCACAGCTTTTGGCGCCGTGTTCCTTTTTGTTCCTCTTCAGTTTTACATCGGAAAAGGAATTCAAGTTTGCAGGTTTGAAACATATTTTATATTCCTTTCCCTAGCCAGCTCTGTTTCTGTTCCTTTTTCGTAGGTTAAGTGTCCAACCTGTAGGTCTGTAGACACTAAACACTGTCCACAGCTGTAGTGTGTATCAATTTGTGGGTTTTCAAAATCCCGAAATTGACAAAGTTTACATTTGTTTGATCTGACATGTTATTTCCGATCCGACAGAAGGAAAACAGTAGCTCACACAGACAAGAGGATAAAGCTGATAGGGGAGACTATAGCTTCAATGAAGATTATAAAGATGTACAAGTGGGAGTCTGTCTTCAAGAACTTCATATTTCGAGTAGGTAGCAGGGTCATTATCTCTTAATCGTTATCTCTACCCATAATCAATAAACCATGATGTTGTTAAATATTACGGACAAAGACAGATATGGAAATATCTTCTAGGTAAGAGCACTGGAGACGAAGTACATCAGTACCTTTATGTTGCTGAAGAGCTCTAGTATAGCTATACAGAAGGCTTCACCGCTAGTTGGACTACTGGCTCTACTACTTACTAAATACCTTACTGGAGAGACTGTCAGCAGTGAGATGGTCTTCTTCTTCTTGGTTATGGGAGAGTTGCTCAGGAAGAATATTAACTGGGGTCTTGGTGCTACCTTTCTGTATGTGCCCCAGTATATTCACAGTATTGGAAGAATTCAGGTAATTGTTTAAAAATATTCAATTTCAAATACTATCTGATACTTCACAGATCATTGTAATCCTCATTGTGTAAGGTATCTTTAATAACAATAAATCTCCCTCAGAAATTTCTACTTCTCGAGGAACAAGAAACAGATGACTCTGCATTATGTATTGAAAATGGGTCAGCTGGTTTGAGGGACAATTCTGTGGTAGAAAATGGTCATGAAGGAAATGGTCACGTGACTACCGGTAAAACCCCGCAAAAGGAAGATCCTGAAGGTAAGAGTTAGTTAAGTAGGTGGTTATAAAGGAGATACTGCAACCTAGCTGGATTGGGAATTCATATTTCACGTTTTTAATCATATTGTTTGACTGACATGTATTGACATGTACTGTTTGACTGACATGTATTAGCTGTACTGAGAATACTGACATGTATTCCCCTGAACTAGTTGCACTGAGAATAAACCACCTGACCAGCACGTGGGGAGGAGATAACAGTTTTATCCTGTCTGACATTAACCTGGAGGTTAAGAAGGGTGGTCTTGTTGGTATCTTGGGGGCTGTGGGCTGCGGTAAATCCTCTATTATCATGTCCATTATAAAGGTAACGTATTGTGAAACGTGTTACAGTTGCAGTAAACCTTGTGTCTATCTAACTATCTAAATCCAAATATAAAGTGTTATTGAGTCGATGACAAAAGTTGCTAATGATAAGCTAAAAATATTTGGAGATATTGAGATATTTTTAATGATACAGGGATATAATCTCAGGAGATGGATAGCGTTAAAGGTTCCATCTATTGTCCATCTGCTATTGGCTTTTACAGCCAAGTTCCGTGGATCTTCAACGGTAAATATTCTCCTTCTCTCATTATCTCCTACTCTCCTTATCTCCTTCTCTCATTATAGCTTCGTTTGTTTAACTGCATGTTTAGTGTATTTTTACTGATTGGCAGACCAGCTACACGTGACAGTTGTTAATAAGTCATCCTGTCACGTACATGGTACGTACATGGTACGTCGTACATGGTTAACGTCGTGGTTAACGTCGTGGTTAACGTCGTACATGGTTAACATGGTTACCATGGTTACCAAGGTTAACCAACACTTCTCTCATCAGGTAGTGTTAAAGATAACATTTTATTTAACCGACCAATGAATGAAAAGAAGCTGAACAGTATAATTGAGTCCTGCTATCTCACACAGGTTTTATAAATACTTAGTACTTTATACCTAATAGTAGAGCTAGTTTATAACTAGGTTTAGTTGCTAGATTTACTTGAGGCACAGGTTGTGCTACACAACCCTACAGTTTCATTAAATTTTCATTAAGTTTCTCCGAGAGACTGCGACTAACTACAAATCAGTCCGACAATTATTATTGAAATTATTGAGAAAACCTGCTTATTTTGGATTTAGCAGAGAAATGGCAGACTGATTGTTTTTGACCGAGAAACACTACCATAGGATTTAGAAGACCTTCCAAACGGTCTGAACACGATAGTCGGAGAACGAGGTGTGCAGTTATCAGGAGGACAGAGAGCCAGGGTTAGTTATTATATTATTTAGTAGTGTTTTATCATATTATCACTACTCAGTTAGCTACTCCCCAGGGAGTTACCTTTATTGTATATTATGTAGGGAGGTAGAGTATCCTACGATATCTCTTCAGTGTGTTTATGTTTATTGTTGTTAATTTATGTTATTTTATAGATTTCATATTTACTATATGTATATATATATATAAACTAAGTTATACCAAGGATGTCTTATTGATCAATAGTTAATATCAGCTATCTTTGAAAATGTTAGTAAAACTGCACGGATTAAAAGGTTTAGTTACAGTAATAATGTGCAATCATGGTAAAAATAAACAGAATTAGACAGATTTGTTAAACTTTCCAAATAAAAGTCCATCCTTGACAGCAAAGTGTCGTCTCCTCCTCATAGCTCGAGTGCTGAGAATCTTGCGACACTTGGCACTCAGACCAAGTTGACCAATTCCGTACACACCATTCGTCATATCCATCCGTTTTCTATCCATTCTTTGCTTGGTCCTGGTGAAGGTCTCGTAGCCCAGAATCATCAGCTCAGCTATATGTCGTTTTATCTCGAAGGATTTACTAGTAGTTCCAGTATATTTTATCAAGGAGACAGGGTCTCTGAAACTGTTCTTGACTTTATAGTAGAGTAACAAGCAGCCTTCAGGGGACCAAGTTGGAGGACGTTTAGGTAAAGTGGTTAGAGAGGTAGAGGTTGGTAGGGAGACGGGAGCAGGAGATGTTAGCAAGGGAGCGGAGGAGGGAGGTTGGTAGGGAGACGGGAGCAGGAGATGTTAGCAAGGGAGCGGAGGAGGGAGGTTTAGGTAAAGTGGTTAGAGAGGTAGAGGTTGGTAGGGAGACGGGAGCAGGAGATGTTAGCAAGGGAGCGGAGGAGGGAGGTTTAGGTAAAGTGGTTAGAGAGGTAGAGGTTGGTAGGGAGACGGGAGCAGGAGATGTTAGCAAGGGAGCGGAGGAGGGAGGTTGGTAGGGAGACGGGAGCAGGAGATGTTAGCAAGGGAGCGGAGGAGGGAGGTTTAGGTAAAGTGGTTAGAGAGGTAGAGGTTGGTAGGGAGACGGGAGCAGGAGATGTTAGCAAGGGAGCGGAGGAGGGAGGAGTGAGGTTTGGAGGGTTCAGTAGGACGGAATGTAGCTGAGGTTTGGAGTGAGGTTTGGAGGGTTCAGTAGGGCGGGATGTAGCTGAGGTTTGGAGGTGAAGCCTCGTGGCGGGAGCAGATGGGAAGGAATGTTGTAGCTTCTGTAGGACCAGTGACGTCATTATAAAGATTCCGATAAGTCACCTGGCAGTCCTTACAGCTGAGAATAGAAGAACGTTCCGTATAGTTGCTGTGAGGAGACAATGTTAAACAGTTGTAACGATTTGGGACTGGCTTAAATACTTTTCCAAGGAATATGATCCACCGCATATTGTCTGGAGATGCAATCTGGCACGATCATGTGAGGGGTATAACCGACTAACGAGGTTTCAGGTTTTGCAAAGAGAGATAAACGAGATGACATGTAATAAGGTTATCTAATAATTATTAATTTGAGTCATCACGTTGATTATATCGCACTACCAAAGGAGTATGTTTAAATTAACTAAAATGTGGTGCCCGTAATTGAGTTAATGACCATATGAGTTATATTCTATTCGATTGATATCTGATTGATCAGTCGACAGTAAGCATATAAAACAATAACTGAATAATACAAAGATATTACAGGTAATATTACAGGTAATAAAGCACCAGATCATCACGTCGTGACCACTTTGTTTTCAGGTGAGTTTAGCAAGAGTGGTGTACGGAGAGGAGAATGTTGTTTTATTGGACGACCCTCTCAGCGCAGTGGACACCAAGTGTGCTAGCCATATCTTCAACAGGTACCACATAAATAGGTCTAGATGGGGAGGAGGACCATCAATGTTTTGACACGTGACTGCGTGGCAGCGATCTTGGGTTTTAATTGGTCGATGCTGAAAGCTGATTGGTTAATCACTGGCATTTGTCTACAAAAATATTATTCACTTCCCCGCAAATGTCAAGATACATTAACCTGGCGATCATTATGTCACTCTTTTCCATTTGTTTTAAGTATCATTTTGATGTTTTTCTAATGTTCAATGTTCATCCATGAATATTTTACAGATTGTTTATTCATACGTCCTTTCAAGGATATTTGTTGACTCATACCTTCCAAGGATACCCAAGGTTTCTCTTGTTATACAATATGTGAACAGGTTGATAAAGGGACAACTGCAGGACAAGACAGTAATACTGGTAACTCACAACACAGAGTATCTGTCTCAACTAGATCATATCTACCTTATGAACAGGTTAGTACAGATCATTATAACAGGAACCTCGCAGTGTGCTTTATTAAATTACACATGTCTGATGGGGAGGCGGATTGTCGTTGTGCAGCAGTACTGTGAATGTACCATTAACATTTAACACACTCTACAAATTGAGCTACCAACCCTTATTATTAGAAGCTGTAACCTATCACGTGACATACCACGTGACTAGTATCCTGTGTTTCTCTCACAGTTTACAATTAATCTCTTTGGTTTCAGGGCAGTAAAGGAAGGAAGCAGTATAGTGGGTAGGATAGCAGAGCATGGTACATGGGAGGAACTGCACGACAAGGGTTGATATTATTACTAATAACATTATTACTGGACTCTTCAAGTGAATGTTTGATGTTTTATTGAGTAGAAATAAAAAAAAAAGTTTTTATATGGCACCCCTGGCTTTCTTATAGCAAGCTACATTTAATTTGTAAAATTAATGTATATTACAGATTTAATAAAGGAACAAACTAAACTGAGAGAAGATGAAGACCAAAAAGAAAAAGATACTGTTAGTAAATCACTATATTCAGTTTATGTTACTACGTCCTACAGTCTCGATCAACAAATTACTAAGACCTTCAAACTATTTTTGTGTCAAACTAAGAGCAGATGAAATAAACCACGCTGAAGGCGCTGGTTTTACCGTGTTTGACCTCTTACATTAAACTTACAGGGGGATACAAAGAAAGAGAAGAAAACAAAGCCGAAACAAGAAAAGGAGGAGCGTAAGACGGGGCTAATAGATAAGAGGATGTATTTAAAGTACTGGAACCTCTCTTTTGGGTTTATCACATTTCCCATGATCCTGATAATGGTAGCTGGAGCTCAGACAGTGAAGATACTCCAGGAGGAAGAGGCTTTGACCTGGTCAGGGTTTTTTCTGCTGTTTCTTTTCTTATCATAGTGGTTCCGCTGTTATTTGTACATTATACATTTATACATTATCAGGAAATCTTCATAGTGGTTCCTCTGTTATTTGTACATTATACATTTATACATTATCAGGAAATCTTCATTCTAATTTCATGTTGTTCCTAAGGGTAGAGATGGTGGAGATGGGAGAGAGTGGATCTGATAACACTTTTAAAACTTACGTTGTGCTGGCCGTTGAGACAGTACTCTTCTACTGTCTTCTGGTCTTCTTTATTGGTAAGTTGTCTTGCACGTAAACGCTTGTGTATCAAATCTAATCAGGGTTCATTACTCTATATTTTCGTGGTGACTATGACTGGTTCGAGCTCCATTACAAATAATTTCTCAACAGAAGAACAAAGAATATGAACTATAAATCAATGATTAAATACACTATAGTAAAATATAATACACTCTAATACTCCCAGCTTATGCCGGCACCCAGGCCTCCAAGGCTCTACACAACATGGCATTTTCTGGAATATTGAAATCTCCCATCCGTTTCTTTGACATCACTCCGATAGGTAAGTCGCTCTATTTCTCTTACAGATATAATATACTTTTTCCGTACAACCTGTGTCGTACAAAGAAAGTCAGGGAGTCAGAAATCTGTTTTATTAGTGGTGACCAAAACAATTTTCCACTGCACTATTTCTGCAATAACACATAAAATGTAACTAATTTCAGGAATTCTGATTAACCGGTTCTCAAAGGACACGCTATTTTGTGATGAGAGACTCTCGTTCGTATCCAGTCAGTTTGCTACCATGTTCACTGCATTTGTAGGTGAGGTGTTATTTTCACAGTTTATATAATTTCAGACTCCGCTTACACTTAAATGGTCGCTTGCAGGGGTGTAGGAATGATTTTCTTCATGGGGGGGCCAAATTCTAAATATTTTTTGGCGCTTCGCGCCAAAGCCAGAATCTAGGTAAGGACTTCAAAAACCGAAAAAAATATTTTTGGCTCATAATGATCAGGATAGCATGAAACATGAACAAAAGTAGTTTCCCAGAAAACTTTGAAAATTTTTGACTTAGAAAATTTTCGGTCCGAGTCATTCTCGATACATACCTCTGAAAGCAGAGCTCCCGCTTCCGAGCTCGTATTGCAAAGGAGAGGCCTGCCTTCCGAGATCACATTACAAAGGGGGACCCTCGAGTCCAAAATCTTATATCGAACTTCGAAAAACGAAAAAATATTTTTGGCTCATAATGATCAGGGTAGCATGAAACATGAACAAAAGTAGTTTCCAAGAATAGAAAACTTTGAAAATTTTTGACTTAGAAAATTTTGACTTGTAAAATTTTCGGGAAAAATTTTTTTCCCAAAACTGTTTAGAAACCTAAATAAAAAAGTTGGCCCTTTTTGGCCCCTTGCCCAGATTTCATGGGGGGGCGATGGCCCCCCTGCCCCCCCCCCCGCTTCCTACACCCCTGGTCGCTTGCTACAACGTGACAACCTCACATGGGTGGTACAGCTTAGTTGTTGCGATCTTAGGGTAGAGTAAATAAGGACCGTAAGCGCTCTATAAGTATTGCTGTGATAATCAGATTATTACATCCAAATCGTGGACAACCACCACGTACAGTATCTTTCATCTTACGGAAGTTAAATTGTCAAGTTTTCGTAAACTCTCTACATAAAATACCCAACCAGTTTAACCTCGAAATAGTTTCTAAGTTTCTAAGAGAGCTTAAAACGAATTTATTTTTAAAAATGCTACTTCGAACCTGTCATAAATGTAACGCGTATTACAACAATTGAATTGCAATTGTAACACAAGTTATCATAAAATTATACGCCGCGCGCCATGTGCCATGTACCCTGGCGGATAACCGTACTGGACCGTAGAAGAACCGTAAAGATAGCAACGCTCAGACATAACGGGCAATAGGTTGTTTCAAGATTCGATAATTCAACCAACTAATTCAATCGATTGAAGCAAATATTGCTTAAGCAAATAGTCAAAGGTACAATAAATTGTTACTTCAACTGAATAAAGTCGATAATGATAACGGACTTATAAATTATCTGTAAAATTCTTGGTTTATATAGCGATCACTACCTCTATCAGCACCGGATATCCCGTTTCCTAGACAATAGTTAACAACCCTGCACGGATGTTAATTAAAATCCCGATAGGCTTGTCAGACAACCGGTCATATTAGACCATTTTTTACACACAATTTCTATGTCGGATTTTCAAATCACCCTATTTCCACCTGAAATCTAATGTGCACGAACTGTGCGATAGAACCAAATTACTTTTATACCCTCAGGGCCTTTTCACAAGATTTTTTTTATAAATTTGGGCGGGCGATTTGTCGGGAGCGCAGAATTTTAACAATATTATCTCCTATCGTATTTTATACTGAAGGTTATAGATAATCGCTGATCGAATAATCCTTGAATAGTCTAACTTTGAAGTATGTAAACCTGGCCTTGTAATCAAGATTGGACTTGTCGATTTCTTTATCATTTGTTTATCATCTATATTAACCTTCTCATTTTCAGCGTCAATGATAGTCCTGTGTATCTCAAACTACTACTTCATTCTCATCTTACTACCTCTCCTACTGTTCATGGCAATGGTTCTCTACTTTTACCTCAAAACTTCCGTGGAAGTACGGCGAGTGGAAGCTATATGTTAGTGATATTAACTTTTAACAAGCTTTCTTGTTTTTAAAGCAATCTCGAGCATTTATGTGCTAAAATAATGACAAGTAGACTTTTATCAACACTACGTCTTGATCTGAAATTGCTTTACTATCACATACTAATTTGATATACAGTTGGTAAATATGTTTATATAACTTGATAACCTCTTGTTTTCAGTGCGGAGTCCAGTAATGAGTCACGTGTCAGGGACGCTAAGTGGGATGAGCACTATCAGAGCATCTAAACAGGTATTACTTACTACTAATTACTACTACAAATTACTTACTACAAATTACTACTAATAATTACAATTAACCAGTCTGTGTATTATAATGTCACTAATAAAACACTCGTTTATTACACCCCGATAAGTAGAATAGTAAAATCGTATAGATTGTCAACTAGAAAGATATCCCTGGAGCTCAACAATATCCACGTTAACCTTGTATCTCGTATCAGCACATATCTCCTAATCGCAAAGTCCGCATGTTTTGGGGCAGAACTCATCGTAAGGGAACCAACACTGTCCAGCCCGGCAGGTCACAGAGTTGGAGTCCTCACAAGCTGAACAATTTACTCATTTAGAACGAAAACATCAGATTTTTGAGTGAACCGGAAAATAGAGATAAATTGTTTAAATTCGACTCCATATATTTACATCAGAGTGTCTTGGATTTAAGGAGCAGCTTTTAGCTCTTGTACGAGAAATGGTCATAGGACAATGCGAATCAACAAACTAATCTTTAAAACTCACGTTTAGGATTAGGACTCTGTGTAGTAGGTTTGGGAGTAGGCTTTGTTGGTTTAGGAGTGGTAGCGGTCGGGTCCGGCGTGTTAGTTGGTATTGGTACCCCAGTCGGTATTGGTGGAGGGGCACTGTCACTAGCAAGTAACACAGCTGATAATAACACTAATACCATGAACATTTTTAAAGTACAGCAGAGAGAACGTTATAAAGTGCAGTTATATAAGAACAGCAGGTTTAGATTCAGTTAAATAATTTAATTAAAATTTAGTTTAATTTGATTTATTATTAGATACGCCAAGGCCATCTGGCTACAATACAGGTACTTTAAATGTTGATGGCCCGGTTTAAATTAGCGGACAGATTTCTTCAATTGATTTTTAGAAAGTTAATTAGAACAATAGCTTAATAATAGTCTCTGTTGAAGACTGAGAATTGAATTGTCGACTTTTAGGACATTTAGAGTATGTCGACTTATTCGTGTCACAAACCACATTATATAGGAAATCCAGCTACTTCTACATATTAACATGATTTTGTGGTGGATTCGTGTAGTGTTTTTGAGTCTCATGATTTGATAGTTCTTTTATTCAAATTTCTGATTGTTTCTGAATAGACTCAGTGAAGACAGATTCTAATGGAAATAAATAGCTGAATAACGTATCGACATTTCTACGTCATACTCATATTCTGAAGTAGTATTAATTCAATTATAACGATCAATATTCACATTAAAAATTTGACGACGAAATTTATTTCAAACAAAATATATAACTGTAAAATAGTTATCAACCGTAAATAGTTTTTAACGAAATCGGAGCAAATATGAACATAAAACTGACAAAATTTATCAAATAGGGCTCATCTGAAAATTAACGAATAGCGTGACGTTATACAGGAGATAAAAGATTAAAAGAGATAAAAGAATTAAACGAGAATATTACTATTTACACGTCACTCAACTAAAAACTGTGTTAGATTGTTCAACTCTGTTTTATCGTTGAGTGTTGGTTTATTTTCAACTAAAAATCGGGCTTCTTTAATCTTTCTGTTGATGAGTGATGTTCCTCTATCTACGATTTGAAGTTTAAGCTTTGGGGGGCCTTTGTGCTGAGGGTGACTTTCCCTGTAGTGCTTTGCTAGTGGCTTATCTTCGTAAGATTTTGCTGTTGGATTTGCCGCACTACGGTAATGCTCGTCGAACCTGCACTTGATCGGTCTGTATGTTTCCCCACCATAGTTCTCGGTACAATTGTCTACTTCGCAAGTGATGTGGTAGACGGTGTTAGTTGTGGTGCATTCTCCATCGGTTAAAGCTGCGCATGTTCTGCAGTTTGATGTTGTACAGGATTTCTTGTCAAGGGGTCTGGAGTCTGTAAGGAGATCCTTCAGTTTCCGTCCAGGTTTCTCGACAATTTTGATGGGGAGTCCACTATGTCTGACAGCATCTCTGTATTTGCGACTAGTAGCTTCGTTGACATAGGGTAGTTTGAGAATCGCTCCGTCTTGGTCTTTGTTCTGTACGTTCTGATTAATTCTCTTTCTACGTTTTCTCTTGTTCTTTATGGTTTCTAAGACTCTATCAGTGTAGCCGTTGTTGATGAGAAGTTTATCTATCATCTTTTCTGAGTACTTCTCGTTTTCTCTGTTGTTAGAGACTGCCTCTGCGGTGTTGTACATACTCTCAACAGTAGCATTCTTTGTACGTGTTGTATGATGAGAGTTGTAGTGGAGGGTGATTGGCTTTTTCTGTGGTTTTCTGTAGAGTCTAGAATGTACTATTCCATCTGAGTCGATCTTTATTTCCGTGTTGAGGAAGGGAACAAAGTCGTTCTGATTGTCAGGGTAGTCTACAGTTAGTTTGATAAGTTTGTCAGGATCTTGTTGTTCGATGAGGTTGCACAGTTGCTGAGCTTTTCGTCTGTTGGTGGTGGCTCCGTTTAGATCGTCGTTTGTAGACAAAATATGACTTTCCTAGGGTTGTCTCTATAGTAGTTCTTGTAAATCAGAGAGATGGAGACCGTATGTACTGATTGACTGTCTATTTTCTTTGGCAAATTCCATGACATCTTCTATTGCTGTTAGTACGTTGATATTGGTGTATAAAGCTTCGACGTCTGCTGTAAAGAAAGTAAGACTCTTCAGATCATTTGGTGTGATGTTTCTAATCCTTCGAAGAAAATCGTAAGTGTTTTTCAAATGAGGAGGTACTAGATTCATCAGAGGAGATAGAATGTGACAGACGAACCAAAGGATTTTGTGGAAAGGGGAGTTGCAGCCTGAAACAATAAGTCTAGTTTTCATTGTGTCAGGGTTAAGAGTCTTGATCTCATCACTTGTGTACTTGTGGGTTTTAAGCATCACTCTTGCAGTAGCGAGGGTGGTGTGATGGCTCATTAACAGGTTAGTAACATCTTGAGGGAGATTACGACTCTTGGCAATGTTCTTGAATGTTGAGTTAACATCGTCTTCTAGAGTTTTAGTTAACTTGTTTATGTACTTTTGTTTGCCCAGTTTATCCTGTGGTATATCGATCTTCTTGTAGACGTTTCCATTGTTGAGGTGAGTTGTAGTTGTCCTGATGTGATCTTCTTTAGGCATTACTTTAAACTCTGCTGTTTTGTCAGCGACGGAAATTTGAAGGTCTTCATTGTTCTTCAGGTTTCTGAGGGCAGTTCGTTGTTTTGGAGTGAGATTGGGTGTGACTTGAGCTGTCTTGGTGATGTTGATCAGATCTCGTCGAAGTGCACCCAATTTGTTCTCGACGGTAGTGTCTGCTAGAGGTGGAGCACGAGTGTAAGTTTGCTCGAATGGTGCAATGTTCTTCATGTTTAAACCAACACATTCAGTTCAAATACGTACTCATCGAACAACTAAAGAAGGACTCACTCCAACTGAAGAACTTTTTACGTGATTCTACACCTGAACATTTTGCTTTCATTTCGCAGCTTACGAAAGAACGACTCGGACCGAAAACTTTTAAGTAAAAATTTTTCGAAGTTTTTCTGAAAACCACTTTTTTCCACGATTCAGGCTACCCTGTTCATTATTAGCCGAAAATATTTTTTCGGTTTTTCGAAGTCCGCACCTACCCATCGATACACAATTCTGGACTCGAGGTTTCCCCCGGTAATGTGATCTTGGAAGGCAGGCCTCCCCTTTGCAACACGAGCTCGGAAGCGGGAGCTCTCGATACAGGAGGTACGTCTCGAGAACGACTCGGACCGAAAAACTTCTAAGTCAAAATTTTTTAAAGTTTTTCTGAAAACCACTTTTTTTCCACGATTCAGGCTACCCTGTTCATTATTAGCCGAAAATATTTTTTTGATTTTTTTTCGGTAAAAAAAACTGAAATCCGGCAAAAATCCGGCAAATTTTTTTCCAGCCGGAACCGGAACCGGATTTTGAAGCCGGATATCCGGCCGGAACCGGATTCAGCCGGATTTCCGGTCGGTTCCTAAATTTGGGACAACATGATTTTGCAATTTTGTTCGGGATTTTGACTCCCAGTACCTCAATTTGGTTTCATACCATCATCAATTAACTGACTAATTGGTTTCTGGCCAAACATTTCATCCAATCTGTCAAATTTGTGTTCAGAAAATTTCATATTTGAAAATGGGACAGACTTTTGAAAATACAACTTTTCGTTTTGTTAAGCTTTCTGCTGTGGGCTTCCTCCGACCGAAATCCAAACTTCCAGCACCTCAATCGTGTCATTTGGCATCTATAGTTGACTCACTTATTGGTTGCAGGTCAAAAAATCGGTCAAATTTGTGAAAGTTCAGTCCTGGAAATTTCATCTTCAAAAACTGAAAATGGGACAAAGATTGGGACAACATGATTTTGCAATTTTGTTCGGGATTTTGACTCCCAGTATTCAATTTGGTTTCATACCATCATCAATTAACTGACTAATTGGTTTCTGGCCAAACATTTCATCCAATCTGTCAAATTTGTGTTCAGAAAATTTCATATTTGAAAATGGGACAGACTTTTGAAAATACGACTTTTCGTTTTGTTACACTTTCTGCTGTGGGCTTCCTCCGACCGAAATCAAACTTCCAGCATCTCAATCGTGTCATTTGGCATCTATAGTTGACTTACTAATTGGTTGCGGGTAAAAGACTGTAAAATTTCAGTCCTGGAAATGTCATCTTCAAAAACTGAAAATGGGACAAAGATTGGGACAACATGATTTTGCAATTTTGTTCGGGATTTTGACTCCCAGTATCCAATTTGGTTTCATACCATCATCAATTAACTGACTAATTGGTTTCTGGCCAAACATTTCATCCAATCTGTCAAATTTGTGTTCAGAAAATTTCATCTTTGAAAATGGGACGAACTTTTGAAAATACAACTTTTCGTTTTGTTACACTTTCTGCTGTGGGCTTCCTCCGACCGAAATCAAACTTCCAGCTCCTCAATCGTGTCATTTGGCATCTATAGTTGACTTACTAATTGGTTGCAGGTAAAAAATCGGTCATGACTGTAATATTTCAGTCCTGGAAATTTCATCTTCAAAAACTGAAAATGGGACAGAGATTGGGACGACATGATTTTGTAATTTTATTCGGGATTTTGACTCCCAGTACCTCAATTTGGTTTCATACCATCATCAATTAACTGACTAATTGGTTTCTGGCCAAACATTTCATCCAATCTGTCAAATTTGTGTTCAGAAAATTTCATATTTGAAAATGGGACAGACTTTTGAAAATACAACTTTTCGTTTTGTTAAGCTTTCTGCTGTGGGCTTCCTCCGACCGAAATCAAACTTCCAGCTCCTCAATCGTGTCATTTGGCATCTATAGTTGACTTAATAATTGGTTGCGGGTGAAAAAATTGGTCAAGACTGTAAAATGTCAGTCCTGGAAATTTCATCTTTTTTTTATCAAGACACTTATTTTACTTCGGTGTATTCCAACAGCCACATTGTTACACAAGTGCAACCAGCCAATTACAGGAAGCCGAAGGATCTTTTTGGCCAGTGAACTGAAAATGGGAGATTATTTGCTCCATGGTCACTGGTATTGAACAAATAAAAGTCATACATGTACCACTTTTAGGGATTGTTGTTTCGAACATTTGATAATCATAAAATCATGTGCAGAATCCTTTTCATGAAAACACCACCTTTAAAATTTTCACGCTTGGTGAGCATCTCTTTTTTATCAAAGACGAATCTTAAACTGACTGAAAATTTGGTCTTACTATTGA